TTTTTTGTGGGCCATTGAATTTACGATAATGGTGGCAGAGTATTTTGGAAAAGGATAGCAATAATGGTGGCACAACATGAAAAATGTCATCAATATCTTCAAGCTGTAACTGTGCAGGTTGTTATGCTGGTAAATGTCTTGGCGTGTATGCTTTCACCACAATAAAAGTAAACAATAATAACAAAAGAATAACAACAACTCTCCAGTAGATCATCTTGGTCTCTGACTTTAAGACATTATTTTACCTGATGGTATAGGAATGACTTCTAATTGACTCCTCCTGTCAAAATAGGAGTTAAAACAAGCAATCCCTCAAGATTGGTATAAATTAAACTTCTGTTTTGGCTACACTGCTCTGCTTTTCTATTTTTTTCACCTTCTGCTTATTTTGCTTTCTGTTGTCAACAGCCCATCACACACACTGGGTTCCAGGCCCTTCTGCTTAACTGGGACAACAGCTTTTATGCCACAGTTTGCAAACATTTGTACAATGGGGGCCGCTTAAGGCAGGCACTTTCATCAGGCAGTCCTTGTTAGTAAGAAGGGGATAGAAGTGGACCAGCCAACATTTCTCAGTAACTTCAGATCTTCCAACTCACAAGAAGAGAATGTTTTGGGACCTTGATCCTCCCATTTCACTTTGAAAATAAAATCATCAAGGAATGAAATACTGATACATGCCTACAACATGGACAAATGTCAAAAACTATGCTTAGAAGCCAGTCACAAAGGACCACATACTGTCATTCATATAAAATGTCCAGAATAGGCAAATCTACAGAGATAGAAAGTAGATTAGTACTTGCCAGGGGCTTAGGTTGCCCTGGTGGCACAATGGTTAAGCACTTGACTGCTAACTGAAAGGTTAGTGGTTTGAACCTACCAGCTATGCCATGGAAGAAAAGACCTGGCGGTCTGCTCCTGTAAAGACTGCAGCCTTAGAAACCCTATGGGGCAGTTCTACTCTGTCCTGTAAGGTCGCTGAGTCAGAATTGACTCTATGGCACAACCACAGGGGTCTGGGGATAGGGGAGCAGGGATGGGGAACAGAGAGTGACTGCTAATGGGTACAAAGTTTTTTTTGGGGGGTGATAAAAATGTGCTAAGATTATAACTTTGTGAATATATTAAAACACATTAAACTGTTTACTTTAAATGGGTGAACTTTATGGTATAAAAATGATATCTCAATATAGCACTTTGGGGGAAAAAAAATAAAAATAAAATGATCAAACTGTGTCCTAAAATGACACACATCTGCATGGTTGTAAAAAGTCAAGGAAAGGTTTATATATGTTACTGGGGTTGGGATTTGCCCTGAGAAGGACAAAAGAGAAATAACATGTAGTGGGCACTTATGTTCATCTCATTTAATCCCTCTATCCAGCACCAGCCACTCCTCGGAAGGAAGGTTGGGCAATCCTACTTCCGTAGTGATACTGCCTCGGAAACCCAAGGAGGGGTCACTATGAGTCGGGGCCG